TGGGTGCTATCTTGGGGATAGCTGGTCTCTGACCATAAAGGGAGTGAGGGGTGGTGCTGACGGCACTAGCCTGGCCTGTGGGTGGCAGGCCGTCAGGCCAGATTTGTCCCAGCTCCACGCGCCTCTCCCTTCCAGGTGCTGGATGGACGATTTATGACCCAAGCTCTCACGTTATCTATCATTAGCAGTGATTCTCGTCTGGTGCTTCTCAGACTTTAATGTGCACACAAATCACCGGGGACCTGTCAGCACACAGATCCTGACTTGGGAGACATGGGGTGGGCCCTGAGATTCTGCATCCTTATCCAGCTCGCAGAGTCTGCCTGGCTGTGGGGACATGTCTACACTCTGCTGGGGTCGAGGCTCCTTTCATTCCAAGACATGGGCTGTACCCAGGACTTGCTTAGTCAATTTCCGTAAATCCGACCACCTTAAAGGAATAAGTAAGATTAAATTTTTCAAATATTGGATATGTCTAAGTTAGCAGCAAGACATAGTTCTATCAATATAGGATTTGGGGTCAGAATGGTACAGGTTCAAATCCCAGTGCTGCCACTAGCACCTGTCCCACCATGGAAGTCCCTCCTTTGCTATGAGTTCCAGTGGCTCTCTGCAAAATGGGATCAGGACCCCTACTTGGTATGTCAGTGAAGAAGGAAGATGGTGTCTATAAACACTGATTCCCTTGTGTTCAACAAGGTCTAGGAAAAGGCCCTACCCAGGGACCTGTCAAACTGTACCCTAAGTTCTCACCCAGTGAGGTGGCTTTTTGTCCCAGACATCATTTTGAGGTGGGGCTGCATCAGGCCTCTGAGGAAACCTGGAACTGGCTCTTTGTCAATTTCCACCTCCCTGCAGCTGCCTGGCTCCTCGGGAAGCTGCTTGGAGGCTGGGCTCTGGCGACTAATCAGCAAGTGTCCCTGCTGCTCAGGGGCTGCTTCAATCAGGGGGCACTGTGGGAGGCATTATTAGCTGCACCCATGTGGGGGTGGCAGAGTGGCCAGAGTGGAGCCCCTCTTCAGAGGGTCACGAGGCGATTCCACGTGTGCTTCTGTGTGTTTATTGACAGAGAGTCATGCCTGCATTCTGTTCTGGTTGGGACTGAGTCTCAGCTTTGAGGGTTGGGTCTGGAGCTCAGGTGACAGCTAGTTACTTCCTATCCCACCCCCAAGCCTGCTGCACACCTGCCTCTAGGCAGTGGAGGAAAGACTTGGATTTGTGACTGACTAAAACTCTTAACCCAAACTTGGACCGTCTCCCTAGCCAGGAATCTAGTCCCAAAGGAGCCTGTCCCCTCTTGCCCTAGGAGATCAAGGAACAAAATGGGTTACAACCAAATGGCTATGGAAGGAAGGACACTCCTTCCCTTTTGGCCCAGAGAGGGGCCTCCTGATACAACTGTGTGCTCTAGAGTACAGCTTTCTGGCCTTGAATTCTGGGGCTGCCACTTGCTGACTGTGTGATCTAGGACAAGACGCTACATCTCTGCCTTGCCTATCTGTAAGATGGGAATAATTAATAATTAATTCCTACATCAGATGGAATGTGACAACCAAATGAGGTAAGCTGCACAAAGCAAGTGCTTAGCAACCAAAATTCTTAGCTGTCTGTATGAGAAGGTGCCATGCTGGCTTTTTCTGGCCACCCCCTGCCCCACCTTGGAGACATATCCTTTAAGGCAGGGCCCAAATGGAAGCGAGGGATGGTATTTCTGTGATCCCAGCTTCTCTACAGGCAGCAGTACTCAGGCCTACTCTGGCTCTCTGGGTGGTGACAGGCCCCATTTTTTTAGATGTCCAAGAGATTCACCAACCAAATCAGATGACTTTGGGAACTGTGACAGGCCTCACAGTTCCTTGGTCCCTTACTGAGTCCTTCCATGGTTATTCACACAGTCCACTAAGTGCCAGGCACATGTGAATGAATCAGAAGTCCTGGATGCGAGTCTTTTCTCTGTGACTCCTGGGTGAAGAGAGCCATCTGATCTCTGGATGTGAGAAATTGGTAGCTGTAGGCGTGATGTGGGGGCACCGCTACCCACTGGCTCCTGCCAAAGCCCAGGGAGGTGGCTAGGGTTGGAGATCAGCCTTTCCAGTTTTACAGCATGGTCAATGTAGCAAATGCTCCTCTGTACGTCCTAGCAGCCTCCTGTTTGGCAGTCTCCGAGTTCTCAGTCTTTCCAAATCTCTCATTCGAATTCTGCCCATACAACATTTCCTGTCTTTGAGTCCCAGGAGAGAATGCAAAGCAATTCAGGATGCCAGGTTCTTCTACCAACCTCCTTTAAATCCTACCCTTCTTCAGAGCAGGGGGAGCTGGCTGGTGGAAGGGCTTTCTAAGACAGTGGTGTCGACTATGGCAAGCCCTAGTGCTCATTGAAGCCTGTGCCCCAGAGCAGGCACTTAGCTCACGGCATTGTACCCAACCTCCCAATAGCCCAGGGAAGTGGCACCATTAGACCTGCTTTACTGGAGCTCAGTGAGCTCCCCAGGTCCCCATCCAGGAAACTTATCCCTGTGAGCTCGTAACTGGTGGGCTGGGCTGGGAACCTGGACCAACACCTCCAAAGCCTGGGATCCTAACTACTCTGCTCTCATTTCTTCCTCTTCTTTTCTACTTCCATTTTTGCTTGTCTCTTAAAGAAGAGGTACCAGCCCCCGATTCAAAAGAAAACAGCACCTCTCACACCAGAGTCATACCTGCACGTGTCAAACTTAGCATACACCTGGGTAGAAGAGAAGGCCTTGATAAATGGGAAAGGCCCTGGGAAAATGGCTGCCAACCTCTCTATCTTCCAGCCAGCCTATGGGTTGTCTTTCTGAAATTCTATCCCCTGGTTGTACCCTGGGTCATCTGGGTGCTTCCCTCCCCCAACCCAAGCTCAGGCAGCTGTCTATACAGCTCATGGGTCGGTCAGTCAGCTCAATACCTATGCTCCTTTGCCATCTGGGTAGCTCTGGGGCAGATCCCTGGCCTCAGTTTCCCAACTGGAACAGTGAGGAGGATAAAGCCCTTCCTTACTCATGTCCCAGGCTTGTTTCTAAGTCACTAATAACAAAGGCTGGACATTTGCATCTGAGGTGCCTGCATCTAGCCTGCATTGGGCCTTTCCTCATGAACCATTAAGCCCCATCAGGATGGGAAGGGTGTCTACCGGCACTCTGCTGCCCCTCCCATTCCCTGCTGCTAAGGCAGCCTTCTACAGAGCCCATCAGAAGCACACTCTGGCTAGGATAAACAGGGCATCTGGGCGCTGGCTACAGGTGTAAGTCCTCCATCTCTCTGGTTTTAAAAATAGCAATAGTGACCTACCGAGAGAGAGAGAGAGAGAGAGAGAGAGAGAGAGAGAGAGAAGGGGGTACCAATGGGAAGGCAATGGCATTTGGAGGGCAGACAAAGCCTACAAAGGGACCTGTTTTATTCCTACACTTAGCTCCCCTGTACCGTGTCAATGCCTGTGTGGATGCCTCCAACATACAGTATGCGAAGAAAGAGTATTTTCATTTCAGATGCATATGATGCTAGGAACAATATGAACAATATTATTTTAGTGCCCTGGGAAAAAATTAGCAAGTCAAATATTGAATCAGGCCTGTAGCACCACATGCTAAGCAGATTGCTTTGATCTTATCCACACTAAAAGCTCTATTATTGAATTTAAAGTTGGTGAACACATATCAGACCAATATACAATGCATATCTGAATGCATGCTTCAGAAGCAAGGGATGTTTTGACAAAAGGAGAAAATATCAAAGTCACAGCTGCGACTGAAACACAAATTTGCCCGTCCTCTTCTTTCGGGGCTGGAGGCTCTGCTGGCCAACAAAAATGTTTGTGCCCAGAGGACCTGTGGATGGCTCCAGAAACACCTGTCAAACTCTCGTTTTTCTGGAACCAAAAAAAAAAAAAAAAAGAAGAGGGTTCTCAACCCCTGTTCAATTTGAGAGGAGTGTGAGACCTTGAGTGGAGTAGGCACATACAGCACACAGCATGGCGCCCTCTGGTGGCCACTTCTCTGGGAGGCCACTCTGGCTCCCCCGAAGTGAAATAAGCCATACCTGCCCTCCTTGAGGCTGCGCTGGCAGGAAGGAGAACTTGAAAGAGTCAAAGGGAAGGAAGGAAGCAGCGGATCATGAAGGTAGAAAATATATGATTTATGATAAGGGGGGAATGTTAATTACACAGGAAGGCCCAAGAGAAACAATTTGTAACCTTCCTATCTAGGATACACTCCTCAAAAGCTAAACATCAAAAGCTTATCTGAAACCAGGGGTCAGAAAACTATGATTCCCATAGTCTACATCCAGTCCCCCTGACTATTTCTGTGACATCCAAGAGTTAAAAATAGCTTTTACATTTTTTGCAGGGGGGCAGGGTCGGGGGGGCTGGGGTTTGACACTTCACAACTGTGCTACCGCTTGGGCCCTACCTCCAGCTCATTTTGTTCTGGTTATTTTAGAAATAGGGTCTCCCAAACTATTTTCCAGGACTGGCCTCGAATGTGAGCCTCCTGATCTCAGTCTTCCAAGTAGCTAGGATTACAGTCTTCCAAGTAGCTAGGATTACAGCCACTGACACCTGGCATAATTTTTAAATTTTTTAAATGGTTAAAGAAAGAATGTTTTATGGGCTGGGTATATAGCACAATGGTAGAGTGCTTGCCTAACATGCTGGGTTTAATGGCAGAAAAATTGTGACCCCTGAAACTTACATGAGATTAAAATGTTAGTGTCCATAAACAAAACTTTTTTGAAACACAGTCCCACTGATTCAGGTGGCCTATGGATACTTTTGCCCCACAATTCAGAGCAGTTGTGTGGCTCACCAAGCTGAAGACACTCACCATTTGATACTTTGTATTGTACACAATGGCTACCATTCCCAGGGCTGATCCTGGAGAGTCTAGCCCTCATGCCCACTCTTGCCCATGGCACCCACGAGGTTGGGGCCACAGCTGTCTGCAAGGCAGGGCTGTACACATGGGGGGAAGGGGACTTACCATTTTATTATTGATTTCATGGAAATGAATCTCACAGACTTTCTCCACAACATCTTCATTCTCGAAAGTGACAAAGCCAAACCCTAAAGGAAAAAGAGAAAACAGAGAGAGGAAGGGTGAGTTTGGTTCTTGAAGGGCTGCCTGATTTTCGTTGACAGTGTGCAGTCATGAGAGGTTCCTGATCTGGAAGAAGGTGGGCAGGTCTCGGGGAGGGCCTTGATTTCCAGGCAACGAGTCTAATTTGTATGCAACACCCTTTCCCAGTAAGAAAGCATTCATGATTTCACTCACATGCAGCGGGTACTGTGTGGCTTACAGTTGCCCGGAAGCAAACAAGAATTTTACTTGTCTGTTATTTACAAGGGTCAGAGCCCCGCAGCTCTGTGCGGGAAGGCAGAAGGGTGGGCTAACGAGAGCCTTGCGGATCACTGCAGGGCCATGCTGGCCCTTTCCGCGAGCTGGAATGGACAGCCCTAGGGTCGGCCTCCAGACGGAGGCAGTTATTTGTCCTTTTCTTCCTGAATTACTTCCTCTAATACCTCATCAGGACATCCTGAGGCCTGGAAGAAACTATTAAAAGTCATAGGCCTCTGTTCTGCGCAGGCATCCCTTTTCTACTGCTGCTTCAAAAGTGCTGTGGATTTGGGGCAGTTTAAGACTGTCTGATGCCTGCTGTCAGCCCGTCAGTTATCCACTGTATTTACTCGGCTGGAGACTGGCTTTGCTACACAAGCCACACTGAAGAATTTTGGCAGGCGACCGCTGCTCAGCATCCTGAGTGCCTCTCTCCACCCTCCTGCCCTGTCCCCTTTCTTCTCTTCCCACCACCAATGGCATTTCTAGCATGTGGCCCTATCTGTGACCCCAACTCAGTAATCACTGCAGTACCAGGTGGACCCCCACACAGGACACACCCCACCTCTCATAGAAGGCAGCTGCAGTGTTAGTGAGGCTAACACGGGAGGGGACACAGACAAAGGTGCACATGCACCAGTGAGGCTAGCGCCTGGGCTCCAGTTCTGACCAGATAGCGATGGGTACCTGGGGAATCTAGTCCTCTCTCTGAACCTTGTATTTTGCACCTAAAAGTTAAGATGGGGCAATTGGACACCAAGTCACACCTTAGATCACACCACAGATCAGGACTCCCAAGGCTCTCTGCTATGGACTGTTTGTTTTATGCCTCACCTGTCCCCCTCCCCCCCAGATTCATATGTTGAAATCCTACCCCCAGTGCCATGGTATTAGGAAGTGGGGCCTTTAGGAGGTGATTCAGTCATGAGGATGGAGCCCTTGTGCCTGGGATGCGTGCCCTTATAAAAAGCCACCACATAGCTTGCTTTTTCTCTCTCTGCCAATAATAATAATAATAATAATAATAAAAATAATAATATTAATAATAATATAAGAATAATAATATAATAAGAAAGCGACTGTCTCCAAGTCAGGAAGCAAGCCCTCACCAGAACTGATCAGGCTGGCATCCTGACCGCTGACCTCTAGCCTCCAGAACTGTGAGAAACTCCTGCTGCTCATAAGCCATGGCACTTTGTTATACAGACCCAACTGACTAAAACGTTCTTCTCCCCAAAGACATGAACCTCTAGCCAAAGTTGGGCACACCAAATGGGAAGACAAAAATCAGAATGGCTGTTTTTCTATTATGATTACCAGTGTTTCCTGTCAATGACTGAGATATAAATGCCTCCTTTTCAAGCGTCTGTGTCTACTCTGGGTCCCAGCAACTCAAGGTCAAGAGGGAATCCTTTGAGTCCCTTCTGGCTTATCTATAAAACTCTACCACCACCTAAGGAATATCAGGGACCAGGGTGTTGACACCTAGAGCTCTTACAACACAGTTCCTGCAGGCTCTAGAAGATTCTTCAAGAAAAGAAGGCCACTCCTTGCTCTCAAACAGCTACAGTAAAACAAGAGGGCTAGGACCACCACACAAATGCAGTCATTCATTACCATGCACCAAATACTGGACCAGTGTTCACAGAACGCACAGCCTCGCCCATTATAGACACATAAGGCAGGTATCAGACATACCCTAAGAAGGACAGGAACCTGGGCTGCAGGTGCTCAAAGCTGGCAAGTTTCTCAGTGTCACTGGGCAAAAGCTGGGTCCCTGGTTACCTCTGAGGTCTGAAGTAGGTATGAGATGTGATAATTGAAATAAGACCGAGCCCTTCCCCCCACAAAAGACTTTCCACTAGGTTTATATGCCCCCCTCCACCATACATGCTTCTTAAACCTAAAGAGAAAGCTATAGTGTGTCCAGGTCCCTCTCTTTTGAGTGTTTTCTTGGCCCTTGTTCCTGCAGAGCTGGATGACAGCCACATCCAGAGGCAGGGCCCAAAGCATCTCTCTTGGGTTTTAATATTTGCTCCCCTCACTTCCTGAAACACCTTTGACTAAGGATGTTCAACTCACCCTATTGGAGCGTGTTTTAGGAAGCGCAGGTTGGGAGGGTGTTCACAGGGACCTGTGTCTCTTTGGTTTGTCCCCTTCTTCCTATCCACCCCTGGCAGCCCAGACCTTGTTTGGTCCTACAAGAGGGATGAAGACTCAGCACCCTTCTAAAGGTCCACTGGGAGGGAAGGGCATCACCATTAACTGGGGAGGAAGGGGTCAGCACCAACTTCAGTGGGCTCTGGACAAGGGCAGGGCCAGGGTCTCATGCTCGGTGGGTCTCTGGGAGGAAAGAGGCCCATAGCACACACTACACGCTGAGTGAATGACTCAGTGAGCTACTTTGGTGTCTCCAGGGTCTGAGCATCTTTGCTAATCCACTTCAGTCACTGCTGTGGCTCAAGACTGATACGGCCCCAAATTCCACAGTGACCGCTCCCACAGGTGCCCTGCACTGGAGGATGTGGAGCTTAACAAGCCTTTTGCACAGTTCATTCTCTAACAGGCTCCAGTCAGAGGACCCCCCCGCTCCCCTGCATAGACTTTACCTCTCTCTCATGTCTCTTTCTTCTAGCCAGTGGGTCTCATCTATCTTTGAAGCCACCCCCCCACCCCCACCTGCAGGCCTGGTCTCAAACCTAGGTACCTTGCAAATAAAACATAAACAGGTGGGCCAGTTTGAGTGTCCCTTCAGCTAGTTAGGGTGAGTGGTCAAACAGTGGCCCTACAAATATAGATCTGTAAAACCCAAGAATGTGGTCATATCTGGAAAAGGGTTTTTGCATATGTAATTAAGTTAAAGATCCAGAGAAGAGACCATTCTGGATTTAGAATGGGTCCTATGTCCAATGATGGGTATCCTCATAAGAGAAAGCAGAGCAAGACTGAAACACAGAGAAGAAGGCATGTGAGGGCAGAGGTAGCCAAAGAATGGAGTGACAAAGCCACAAACCAAGGACTAGAGGGAACTGGAAGGGGCAGGAAAGACTGGCCCACAGAACTTCTGGAGGGAGCACAGTCTTGGCCTCCAGAACTGTAAGATTTAATTTCTGTGGTTTTAGAGGCTCCAAGTTTGTGGCGATTTATAATGCCAGCCATAGGATCTTCACGTAATGAGGGACAGGTTTTGGCAGCCCCACGGTGGTGGTGGTGGGAATGGGAGCACCCTCTAGTGGGGTCATACCACTCTAGACAGAAGGCCGACAGCAGGGACAAATGGCCAAAGCCCACGCTGGCTATCAGAAAAAGGTGAAGGCAGTGCCAGCAAACGGTACAACTCTGTGAGTCAGAGGACAGCTTGCCTGCAGCGCCCTTGCAGATAAGCATGTGCACTTGATCCTAGAATGGAGGCCAGGATGAGTCAAGGTGCCACAGGACCAGGATGGAGCTCTCCACCACAGAAGCTACATTTCTGCAGCCACCCGGCTCCTTCCTGGTATGCTATACAAATCGCTGTTTGAACTCGAGGCTGCCTCCCATCCAGGACCCTCTGCTTCCCCAATTTCCCACTCTGTGCCACTAAGCAGAGACAGAAGGGAGGGTGGCAGAGCCAGGAGGCAGGAATTAAAATGCAGGCTTCTGCAGGGGAAGGGCAGGGCAGGCCTCCCTGAATCATATCAGATTCTAACTCAGATACTCTCCCTGTGGGTTCCTTCCCTAACCCCGCAGGACTCAAAATGCGAGTATCACAAAAATGATTTTCCTGATTAAAGGAGATAGACTGGATTTCAAGCCTATGTACCCTGGATGCATAACAATTCAGCAATGTCAAGACTCATTTGCAGTATTTTAAAGATCTATATCACTTTAACATCCTTGTCTGTTTGGCCCGAATACAGAAAACAAACTTGATTATGTCTAAAATATTTATTTATTCCATTTGGGGAAGCAAAGAAGCAATGAAACACTTAATTATCAATAAGTGTTATTCCTTAACATATAATCATTTTTATCTCATGGGTGCATTATCATCTCCACTGAATAACAACTCAGTGGTGAGCAACGTGCCCCCCCCCCCAAATAAATGAAGAGGAGGACCAATAATCGTGTCAGAAATTGGGAGGGAGATGGGTAGTAAGTAGAAAATTCCCTTCTTGGCATTGTAGTCTTTTTTTTTTTTTGAAATAAAATTTCATGATGGTAAAATATACATAACATAAAATTTACCACCTTAGTCCTTCTAAAGTGTATAATGCAGTGCCCTGAAGGACACTCACAAGGTTGTACAGCCTTTACCATCATCCATCTCCAGATGTTTTTCATCATCCAAAATGGAAATGATCTCTATTAAACAATAACTGTCATCTCCCCCCCTACAGTCCCCATGAACCTCTACTTCACCGTGTATCTCTACGAATTTGCCTGTTCTAGGTGCCTCATGTAAGTATAACCAGACAGCATTTGTCCTTTTGTGTCTGGTTTTGCATAACATTTTCAAGACATCATAGTCTTTTGAACAATCTGCTGTATGTGCAGCCTCAACACGAACCTTGGGAGGGCTGGGGAGGCAGATAATGATGACCATCCCTCTCCCCCCGTACTCTCCCAAATGAATCAGAAATGGTGTCTCACGAGGCCCATCAAACTAAGGCATAACAGACAATTATCCTTGGTGAAGAGCAAGGGCTAAATAATGAACTACGTACCCCTGGAGAGGTTCTTGGGCTCC